ACGGTCAGATGAGCATTATTTTGATACCTAATTGTGACATTTGCAGGTCACTAATTGGCGTGGGGTTCAGGGGGCGGAGCCCCCGGAAACTCAAGGGTTTTAGGCACTCAATTACGGTCAGATGAGTATCAAGGGGCCCGCCTTGAGGCTTTTCGTTGGGTCAGGGGGCAGAGCCCCCGGAAGCTCAGGGGTTTTAGGCGTTTAATTACTGTCAGATGAGCATCTAAGGGCCCGCCTTAGGGCCCTAGGTGGAATCCAGGGGGCTGAGCCCTCGTGGTTTTAGGCATTTAATTTGATCATGGTCAGATGAGCATAATTTGATACATCATTATAATGTGTCACTGGCAGTTAACTATTTTTTCTTTCTTCCTCTCTTTCTTTCTATTTCTCTTTAATATACTTTTTCAAAAAAAGTGGGGGGGGGGGGGAGGCTCGAGGATCCCGATCCCCGCCGTTCCGCGGGCCCTGACATGTAGGCATCTCAAGAAGCATTTTCTTGCCTGGCTGTAAATTTAGGAATTTGTCATTTTCCAACAAACGCATACAAAAGTACAATTTACTTAAAAGTGATGAAAAATCTCGGAAAATTATGTCATTTCAGCATTATTTGTAAACCACCGTTATGGAATTAGAAATAAACCACGTTTGGATTTTATTTCCCCAAAGCTCCCCCCCCCCCTCCCCTATCAGTACGCCAGTGCCCCCCCCCCCCCCCCCTCGATTTACACCTTGTTGACGAGAAAATTACAACTGATATCCCTTACCTTTCTTCATTCTCTTTTTGCTCTTTCCCTTTCTCTCCTCTTTCCCTTTCCCTTCCCTTTTCTCTCTTTTAAATTTGCCTGGGGGGGGGGGGGGGCAAGGTCATTTTGGCCCCACTCCGCTCCACACATTGTTGACTGATCTCCCCTTCTTTTCTCCCTTTTCTTTTCTTCTTCCTCTTTTTTGTTCCCTTTTAGCTCTCCTCTTTTCCTTTTCCTTCCTTCTCTTTTTTTTTTAACACGGGGACGGGGGGGGGGGAGGCAAGGGCCTTTTGCCTCCACCCCCCCCCCCGATCGGGAAAATTGCAACTGATATCCCCCTTCTCTTTCTTTTCTTCTTCCTCTTTTTTCCTTCCCTTTATCTCATTTTTTCCTTTTTTTCTTTCCCTTTCCTTCCTTCTCTTTTATTTTTTGATTGGGGGAGGGGGCAGCAGCCTGGGAGGCAATTCCTTTTGCCCCCCCCCCGATCTCCTTCTTCCCTCTTTTCTTTTGTTCTTCCTCTTTTTTCCCTTTTTCTCCTCTTTCCCTTTCCCTTCTTTTCCTTTTCTTTCTCTCCTTTTTTTTTCGGGGGGGGGGGGGCAAGGCCCGCTCGCCCCCCCCCGGATCCGCGCCTCTCTACATGACATTTGTACTAAATGTACATTTGTCTATTATGTAAAAATCAGACTAATTAAACGAGCGTGCTCGCTAAATTCAATTCGACAACTAATGATCATTATTTTCTCACAAAAAGACATTTTCAAACCTTTTGGTTTTGAGGGAAGTTCTAAATTATTATTATCATTCAAATTACGTTGGAATTTAACCTTGTCATTATTTTTGGCCTGCACATAGGACATAATACCGTTTTAACTTCAATAAACTGTATTGTAATTGGATGGTGAAAAATTAATATTCCAGTTTATCCATAGTCAATGTACATGGCGCTATAGGGTGGTGAAAAGTTAGCGTAGGGTGGTGAAAAATTAATATTCCAGGTTATCCATAGACAAAGTACATGACCGTAGGGTGGTGAAAAGTTAGCGTAGGGTGGTGAAGAGTTAATATTCCAGCTTATCCATAGACAATGTACATGGCGCTAGGGTGGTGAAAAGTTAGCGTAGGGTGGTGAAGAGTTAATATTCCAGCTTATCCTTAGACAATGTACATGGCGCTCGGGTGGTGAAAAGTTAGCGTAGGGTGGTGAAGAGTTAATATTCCAGCTTATCCATAGACAATGTACATGGCGATAGGGTGGTGAAAAGTTAGCGTAGGGTGGTGAAGAGTTAATATTCCAGCTTATCCATAGACAATGTACATGGCGCTAGGGTGGTGAAAAGTTAGCGTAGGGTGGTGAAGAGTTAATATTCCAGCTTATCCATAGACAATGTACATGGCGCTAGGGTGGTGAAAAGTTAGCGTAGGGTGGTGAAGAGTTAATATTCCAGCTTATCCATAGACAATGTACATGGCGATAGGGTGGTGAAAAGTTAGCGTAGGGTGGTGAAGAGTTAATATTCCAGCTTATTCATAGACAATGTACATAACGGAAGGGTGGTGAAAAGTTAGCGTAGGGTGGTGAAGAGTTAATATTCCAGCTTATTCATAGACAATGTACATAACGGAAGGGTGGTGAAAAGTTAGCGTAGGGTGGTGAAGAGAGAGTCCATAGACAATGTACATGACGGTAGGGTGGTGAAAAGTTAGCGTAGGGTGGTGAAGAGTTAATATTCCAGCTTATCCATAGACAATGTACATAACGGAAGGGTGGTGAAAAGTTAGCGTAGGGTGGTGAAGAGTGAGTCCATAGACAATGTACATGACGGTAGGGTGGTGAAAAGTAAGCGTAGGGTGGTGAAGAGTTAATATTCCAGCTTATCCATAGACAATGTACATGGCGCTAGGGTGGTGAAAAGTAAGCGTAGGGTGGTGAAGAGTTAATATTACCATTTATCCATAGACAATGTACATGACGCTAGGGTGGTGAAAAGTTAGCGTAGGGTGGTGAAGAGTTAATATTCCAGCTTATCCATAGATAATGTACATGACGCTAGGGTGGTGAAAAGTTAGCGTAGGGTGGTGAAGAGTTAATGTTCCAGCTTATCCATAGACAATGTACATAACGGAAGGGTGGTGAAAAGTTAGCGTAGGGTGGTGAAGAGTTAATAATCCATAGACAATGTACATGACGGTAGGGTGGTGAAAAGTTAGCGTAGGGTGGTGAAGAGTTAATATTCCAGCTTATCCATAGACAATGTACATGGCGCTAGGGTGGTGAAAAGTTAGCGTAGGGTGGTGAAGAGTTAATATTCCAGCTTATCCATAGACAATGTACATGGCGATAGGGTGGTGAAAAGTTAGCGCAGGGTGGTGAAGAGTTAATATTCCAGCTTATCCATAGACAATGTACATGGCGATAGGGTGGTGAAAAGTTAGCGTAGGGTGGTGAAGAGTTAATATTCCAGCTTATCCATAGACAATGTACATGGCGCTAGGGTGGTGAAAAGTTAGCGTAGGGTGGTGAAGAGTTAATATTCCAGCTTATCCATAGACAATGTACATGGCGATAGGGTGGTGAAAAGTTGAGATCGTGAAAAATTATATTCATAGAGAAAATGACGGTGACATAATGGTGAATAGTTTATGTGATTTGGTATTTAAAGAGTCAATGCCCCCTTTCGCGGAGAAAAGGCATATATATGCATGACATGCTTATAATTATGGTGCGGGGATATATTGCAATTCGAAAGAAGATAATAACGTTTTAATTTCTAACATAAATGAGGTGAGGTCTTAGTATAACTCTTTGATTTGCCCCTAAGTACTGCGCTTTACCCCCCCCCCCCCCCCCCCCCTCCATCATCTACTCTCATTATATCCGACCACTATTTTAATTGGTAGCCAGCCATCGTTGCACTGATCATGCCTGATGGATACAATACACAAGGGAATATATTGCGTGTGTGTAGTATAGCGGTTGTACGTGTACAATGCGATCCTTACACTTATCAAATTGGCAATTTTTACACATTGGATGGGCTACCTTCATCTCCGATTAGGTGTGTGAAGAAAAGCTTCACCCGTAACGTACATGTATGTAGATCGATATCTACATTACAATCTTGTTTTGTACTTGTTACAGCAATGCTATTTCCGTGTTGTATGGAGTTCTCAATGTGAAAATAAATATAAAAAGAAACTCTGTAACTGGTGAAAATGTGTTTATAATAGCACTACATATAGACCTATATATATATATAAGACCTATATATATATATAAGGCCTATATATGTCCAAGTTTGTTTGCTTCTTCTGTTGCAAAGAGCTAGACTTGAAGAAGAAGGGAAAAAACACGCAAAAAAAAAGAAACAAACACACACAACAAACCGGCACAGAAACAAAAAGAAAAGGAGGGGATCGCCAGTGTGAAATCCACAAATAACTGTTCATAATTGTCCCCCCCCCCCCCCTGTCCTTTGGTAAATCCATCACTGTACCGTTATGGGATGTGGGGGGGGGGGTGTCCTTTTAGAAGTGTTAACACTTTCTGATGTCAATTACTTTTACAAAATATGCTGATTTACTGATTTTATGCTTTAGGTATACATGATGATTATCATTTTTATTCCAGCTACATATCTTGAGAAAACTTTAGAACTGTATGAATGGCAAGATATATTTCAGTAATCATTTATGAAAATCATCAATAGAAGAATGAAGTACAACAATTTGTTTAACAAAATGAATAGTCTAATATATAAGCCGATTTGGTACTTTATATAAAATCCTCAGTATACAAAAATTAAAACATTCTACATTTTAAAGATACTATGTCCCTTTTGCAGCCAACATCAAATTCTGTAGAACTTTGCAAGAATTATGAATATGTCATGTATGTCCTATCTGTGAAATTTAAACGTAAGCAGTGTCCTAGTATTCAAATTATGCAAGGAAACCGGTAACTTGCTAGACTTCATTGTCAGACACTATTGAGTGAGGGACTGGCTTTTTGGTAATAACATACATAAAATGAGCTGTAAAGGGTACATGAGCATTTGTCTACACCAATAACCCACTTCTTAATTGTAATGGCTAAAATTAAACTGATTAAATCTGTGTGCAACTAGCATAAGACATACGACCATTCTGTACAATGGTCTGAAAATCAGACTATTACTTACTGGCTCTATAGCTCTTAAGTCGATTCAACAACTAATAGTCGTTATTTTCCCACTTAAAGACATTTTCAAGCCCCCTTTTTTTAAGGGAAGTTCTAAATTAGTATTATCTTTCAAATGCTGTTGGAATTTGACCTTTTCACTTTTTTTGGCCTGCAAAACCTTGACAGAAGGTTCCTTTGATTGAAAGCAGAAACATATATGAAACAGATCAGGGAAAGTCTGAGCCAAATTGGATAACAAATATTAAACACATGAATTTATAATCACTAAACACATGGAGAATTGGCAAATTGGCAATGTCAAAGTGATCCATTCATTGGCAGACGTCTAATTTTGTATGTGTTCTGACAAGCAAACTGAACTTGGGAGAGAAAAAAAATGTCTAACAACTCTGAGATTATTCAATAGTCGAATGACCCATTTCACAATTTTAGATTAAGTGATCTCAGATTAAAAACATTCACAGCTTATTAATTTTATCTAATATATTTCCCTAATCTGTTACAAACTCATTACAAACATTCTAATGCCCTTCACTGATATTGTGACTTGTACTCATTATCAATGAAACAGAGTGATTTGCATTATACCTTTTATATGATGCTAAGAAAATTTAGATTTTCTGCAAATGAAAACAGAGGAAATATATCTATAAGATCATAAAATAAAATTCTTAGCAATTTTGTTTAGTCATTTTACCCTTGTTTCACTTTCTTTTAACTGGCTGGATTGACAGCAGCATAAAATTAAAAACATTTTCTATAATAAATTCATCATTATGAAATACTTGATATCAATACATAAATATATTTAAAAAATATTCTGAATTGATAAAAAATTCCATATCATTTCTATTAATTGATTTTTGATGAAACAATCAAATCCACTATCATAATTATAAAATTTTGCACCATTATCATTATGAACAAACTTATATCATGTTTTAAACATTTTATGTAATCTATAGAAAATATACTAAAAACTTGCTTCAAGTCAAAATATCATGAGTTGTATAAAAATGTGGTGAAAGTGTATGAGAATTTAGTGTTAAAAAACATGATCACATACATGTACACACATGTTCAGGGACAAAGCTGCTCAGAGGTACAGTTTCAATTAGATTGTAAGTGTTGAATACATTCACTTACAAATGAAAAAATGAAACAATAAAAAATGAATTAAATAAATGAAACTGTGTTTCTAATTATAATACATGTATATGTGTTGCATAAATATCGCTTACAAAGGACAAAATGAAGAAAAAAAGAAGAAAACAACTAAATTAATGAAACTGTGTTTCTAATATGATTCCATTAGAATGTATGTGTTGCATTAATATCACTTACAAAGCACAAGATGAAACAATCAGAAAAATAAACTAACTAAATATAACTTTTGTTTTTAATGTTTCCATTAGGTTGTTATGACCCAACAACCTTTACCCTCTTAAACCCCAAATCTAATCAGTTGAAATCATTTAACCTTGCCCTCGATGCTTCTCAGCACAGGATTATAATCAGCTGCATAGGCCTCACTTCCCTTCATGTTTAAAATCAATCATACTATCAAAATATTGCTAAATTTTCTGGCAAAGTGCTTGTATATCTCAGATTCTGAGAGGTGCTTTTATTTATGTTTAATTATAGCTTGATGCGCAGTTGACCTAAATGTCATCTGCAAGCATCCTAGTTTCTAGTGATGAATAATAGGCCATACTTGTCATTATCAATGAAATTCTACTTTAGAGAATCAAGCTCTTGTAAATTTGTTTACAGTACTGAATAAAAAACAATTAATATAATTAAATTAAAATTCTTTAAAAAAATACTTTTTCAATGAGCCAGTCTGGTCACTGAACTAACCATAGCAAGAAGTAAACTGCTTCAGACATGATTTCAAACATTCACCTTATAAAATTGAGTAAAATTCCTGCAGTATTTTTAAAACCAAGTTACACAAAGTCATGTTGATTTTCAGATGAAAGCAGGCTGGTCACTGAACTGATCATTGGAGACTTTCACTTGAGGAAATGCTTTTCTTGAGACAACTGACTCATACAGCTACACCTTCTTCCTCAGTATGGGCTTCAGCAGAATTAGAGGGCGCTGTTTGCTGCTGTTGGACCTGTTCCTCAGTTGATACAGGTTGCTGCTGCACCTGTTCCTCAGTTGCTACAGGTTGCTGAGGGGTTGGAGCCATCATGGCCTGAGGATACATTAATGGGGCTTGGATCATCTGAATCTGCCCTCCTGGGCCTCGTACCTGAAAGAAGCCAAATTGTGGAGGGCCTCTCAGCTGTTCAACCATTCCTGCTGGTTGTGGATGTGATGCCTGTTGCTGGGTTAGAGGAGCACCTTGAGGCTGCATCTGCCCCATGGCTGGGACTTGGACAAAGCCAGGTTGTCCTGTTGGAAGGCCACTGAACTGTTGGAACATTCCTGATGTTTGAGGTTGTGATGCTGGTTCCTGTTCTGAGGATGGCTGGGTCTGAGCAAGACCTTGAGGCTGCATCTGCCCCGGTGCTTGGACCTGGATGAAGCCAGGTTGTCCCGTTGGAAGGCCACTGAACTGTTGGAACATTCCTGAGGTTTGAGGTTGCGATGCAGGTTCCTGTTCTGGGGATGGCTGGGTCTGAGCAAGACCTTGAGGCTGCATCTGCCCCGGTGCTTGGACCTGGATGAAGCCAGCTTGTTCCGCTGGAAGGCCACTAGGCAGTTGGACCATTCCTGATTGCTGGTGAATTACGACTGGTTGTTGTTGCTGCTGTTGGGAAGGTTGTTGATGTTTTGGGGGTGGGGGCAATATGGGGATCGGTTGGTTCTGTTGCGCCACTGCTGGTAGAGCCATGAAAGACTGGTGTTGGGGGCTCGGGGCAAGATACATGAATTGACCTGGCTGAGTAGAAGTGCCAGAAGATTCACCTGTGGTACAATGGTGCAAATTCAAGAGATACATATATTTTTTTACCAGAAAAAAAAAGAACATTATAAATAGCTACAACCATGCTTAAGGAAATAGCATTTTTTTAAAGGACGTTTTCTTAATTTTAAAATTAAAAACAAAGAGGCAACCACATATTTACTTCTCTTACATACCGGTATATTCATTTATTGCTTTTGATTTCTTAATGCGTTTTCAATCTATATGTATTTCTTTTTTATTATGACATTTTATGTTTCAAAAATAAATTCAAGGCAAAAATAAAGTATTGTCTACTCTTTGTATTATCTGTCATTTAAAGCACTGTCTTGTCCCTTTCTTGCCCCTGTTGGCATTCCCCCCTCCCCCCTAATTTGTAGTTCCTTTTGTAGGTACAGACTTGTTGATTTAATCACTCATTATTCCTAAGTATCAATTGTGGTGTTCATATTTGTACAAGCATTGCTTTCGACCCCTCTGTTTCCAATTCATATATTTCTACATTTGTTGAAAATGTTTATAATTGATTTTTAATGTTTTGTTGGAAACATAAATAAATTGAAATTGAAATTGAAGTAAAAGGCATCAAAGGCAAAATTGACTGTGTTTTAGGAAATTAGAGCGATTTAGGAAAAGCAACACTTTCTCACAAAAATTAAAAATGATGTCATGGCCGAAAACTTTACAGGGTTGACCTACACCACACTAACTTCATAATATAATATGCCATTCCACAATATAGGTAATAAAGACAGAAAAGGTCAATCTACCTGCAAAATAGACAGGCCCAGCAGACTGGTTATTGGGTACTGCCATCATTGGCGTGTCTCCTCTATTGACAGCATAATAGACCTAGGAAATTTTAAGAGAAAAAATAGCACGTGATTATAGAATTTTTACAGCACACCTTGCTTGATAAAATATAAAGCATAACTGTTAAGAGCTAGAGGTGATGAAATGAAAGACATCTTCTTCTTCCTCATTTGACTTGAGAGGATATGAGATTTTGAGTTTTGTGGTTTTTGAGATATCACGATATACGAACGTAGGGATGGATGGACTGACAACCCCAAAACATAATGCATCCCACACCACCTTGGGCGGTGGGCGGTGGCATAAAAATGTTTTTTTGAAGAGCATAATACAGTAGAACCTTATCATAATAACTTTCCTAGATCAAGGAAATTTCCTTGCTATATTGGAATCCTTTTTTATCAGAGGTAAAAATAAAAGTAATAAATAGAAACAAAGAGCTGGTCTGAGCAAATTAACTTTAATAATAAAGAAGAAGAATAATGGATATTTTGAAAGCACTCGTATCCAAAATGCAAGGTGCTCAAGGCACTTCAAAATAATCCTCCTCCCCTGTGGCTAGATTTACTGACTTTCACCATTATAGCATTTAAGGAATTCCTTCCTGCCGGTACTCATTTAGAACCTGGGCAGAGAGTGTAGCATATGTAGATTAATGTCTTGCAAAAGGAGGCTAATGCCATGCCCGGGGCTTAAACCCACAACTTTTGCATTTCCAGTCGATGACACCTCTATTTTATTGTAAGGAGAATTTGACAGTGGTCTCTATAATGAAGTTCCACTGTGCTATAGCCTAGACGTCAGCTAGAATGTGATTCGTTGCACCACTTACTATATTGGAGTTTCCTCGATCGTCTCTGCACAGTCTGCACAATTTGGACAGGCTACACATCCTGCACGTATCGTAGCCGTCTCGGCAGCATTGACATGCCTTGTAGCAGGCCACGCTGGCTGCTACCACACCGCAAAGTGACTCCAGTACAAAGATCAAGATCAATATGGCGTTCACCACAATACGTGACTCCTGAAAGAATAAATGAATTGAATGAATCTAATAATAATAATAAGAAGAAGAATGATAAGAAGAACAATGGCAATAATAATAAAAATAGTAGTTTCTTAAGTCCCCAATTAACATTAAAATTGCTTCTAAACATATATGTTCTAAGATGTGCTTAACAGGTAATTCATAAATTTGGTTCAAACGAACATATTGGAAGCACATGCAATTTTACAATATTCAATGATTGTTGTCGCAGTTGAAATTGAGTCTAAACTGATGAAATTGTAAATAATAAACATAAAAATTTGAATAGCTTATCATTATACAGAAAACAATTTACTTTTCATTATGAAATAGATTTTAAAGTCACTTTGGATATGCCCTCTTATTTAGGAGCTACCAAAGCTGGGCATACTTTTCTATATGCACTACCGGTATACACTTTATGCACAATGTTCTTTTTTTAAAGATTTTTTTTAACAAGAAAGGCACATGAAATATTAGGTAACAATTTTTTATTTCTTTTTCTTTTTTGCTGGTCAAACATATTTTTACAAAAAGAAAAAGAAAAGAAAAGAAAAGAAAAAAAAAGGCATCTGAAATAAATGAGAACACCCTTTTAATCATGCTTGACAGAGAACAACTCTATTTTATTGAGCCTGATCCCTCCCCCACACACATATTCCTGGGTCTGCCACTGCCTCAAACACAAGGCTGTATGCTTTTTGTTTCTTTTAATCTTTGCATATTTGTCTATTCTAATGCAATACTTACCGCTTCGCTCCCACAGATGGATCTCATAAGGGGATGACAAATAAATCTACCGGTACCCCATGGATGGTCCTCTTTATCGATGAAAATCCCAAATGCTATAATCATCAGGAAAGCGAAAACTGCAGAAATGCTGGACATCACCAGGTAGTACTTAACCTATAGATAAAAAAAACCAAGAGGAATGCTTTACATAGATACAAATTCTTCAAGAAGGAATATATGTTTTGAGGCTACTTGAGAGGCGCGATAGCTCAGTCAGGAGAGCAGTGGTCTTGTAATCCGGTGACCCGAGTTTGAAACCAAGTCGCTGCGCTAGTGCCCTTTGGTAATTCATTACCACCTCGGAGAGGACTTAAAGCAGTCGGTCGTCTGGTTGCTTACTTACAAGCATTTATACTTTTATAGCAATCAGGTAAAATAACCACCACCATATACTTCTGATTCTGAATAATCTTGAATAACAAGAGACCTTTGCACACCTAGAGTAGACATATTAATTAGTAATTTAACAAAATCTGGTGTCAGCAAATTATGATGCAATACACATGCACGCTGACTACTATATGGCTTTGAAGTCTAGAGGTTAGAGGTTACCTTCCAGTACTGACATGAAACTTATTCAATGTTTCAAATTCTGATGTAGTATATATGGTCTCCAGTAAAGAAAAAGCAATCCCAAAGTAATAATTTGCAGAGAAGAAGAACCCCTACTTTCTTTACCACCAAGTTTTGGAACATTTTTTTTAATATAAAGATTTCAATTGTTGACCAAAAATGCTAGCTTCACTATCAAATAAATGCGTTACTCTACAGAAAGTGACTATAATGAAGCTTTAATGCTTGTAGAAATCCTGCCAGCATTGAAAAACAGAATATAGAGTCTACACCATGTAATTTATCATTTGCAAAGAGGAAGCTTTATCATATGAAAACAGATAACTTACAATTTTCTTGCTCGTAGGATTGAAGTAATTAGCAACACCTATTGACCCAGTTACCATGAAGATCTGTGAGAAAAAAATGAAAGTGAAAACAATCAGAGAAATATGAAAGTAATCAGCTGTTGAGATTCAGTTTTATTGAAATCTTGAGATGAAAATGACTTCAGTGAGAAAGTGAGAATCCTGGAAATTTCTTGTGAGAATCAAAACCAAGTTGCATTTAACATTAGCACAAAAACTTCCACAACTGAGTTGAGTGTCTTGCTTCAACCCCGTAATACAAGCTTAAAGATAAGCTGGAGTTCTGGTGATGATAGAAAATGAATTCTCACAGAATCCAACAAAACTTACACTGAATATTCAAGATTACAATTATGTGCCAAACGATTTTGGTAGAAAATGTACAGGGGCTGAGTAATGAGCATAGAAGGATAATGAATCAAGGTACATGTAAGTAGGCCCAACACAATGGGGTGCTTAACACAGGTCACTACGTGCAAATGAGAGTTGTGGTTTTTATTGAAGATGAATTCCAGGAAGTATTTGTGAGTTTATTTATATTTTACTGGTTCAAACAATCAGTCTATACTGCAGGATAAACCATCCAGAATGTTTTCTCGACATACAATTTCCATACCAGAACTCAAGATTAGCTTTAAAGTGTACCAATCAGCGGAAAAAGAATTTGTGGATAGCTAGAATGTATGAAAACAACCTCCATAAAACTCCATGAAACAGGTCATCCAGGTACTTGTTTACAAACCATGACATAGTGTTTTGAAGTTGCAGTTATTTGGATACTTTTGTCTAAAGTATGAGATAAGATACTGATTTTTCATGTCAGTGCAAACCCTCGATACTAATGGGCAATTCTGTGCAATTTTTCCTGTAAGACATATAACATTTATAAAAAAATGTCATCCATGAATGAAAAATGCCTTGTGACTGGTAATTATCATGCGAGAAAGTATCATCATTCAAAGATTGTTTACTTTTGGACGAAATATTTGGAAAAAGGACACGTTGACAGAACCGTCCTAATAATAATCCATTTGACATCATATTACTTTTTGGATTATCTGTCTTGACTCACCAGTAACCCTCCCCAGATAGGGATGCCTAGGTACGAGACACGGGCTTGGAGAATGATGGCTGAAATACCATACACTATACACAGTGCTCCAGCAACAATGTGCAATACACCTGTCACCTGGTATATTAAGACAAAACATCATTGATAACACACAATAGAATTGACTGAAATGAACAAAACAAAAACAAAAGAATTTTTTTTTTAAATTAAGGAAAAGGAAAGGCAAGGTCTGAGTTCATAGCTATGTTTCTGCCTATTCTAAATTGTTGAAATTGAATATTTGGCCAAAGTCACTTGCAAGTTGATCATATTATATGAGTGAGTCTGTGTTCCTATACTAGGATAAGAAAACAGTGAGAAAAGATACCAGTACATGTAGTCCACATATAAACTGAAGAGGGGGTTCGTGGAGTTTATTCCCATTTAAAGGGAGATCTAACAACAAATTCCATTTGTGTGAAGGCAGAAAAAGTAAGAGAAACAGAATGACAAAAGGTTGAAATAAATCAGATAAATAATATAGATGTTATGAATGTTTGAAATATGTGATCCCTAAATATATGCGAAACTAAAGTTGACAATTTAGACTTAGGATTGTGGCGTGTTCACGGTCAACTATCTTGTTTGCCGTACTGAAATAGTATCAATCTCTGTGCCTTCTTGCTTGGGGCATTATTCAATATGGATGGTGCATTATTATAGGTCCTCCAAAAAGAAAAGAACCTTAGACAATACTTTATGAAAAATTAACATTGTAGTCATTTAGTCAGTTGGAAAAATAGGAGATGTCAGGCACTAGTTTATATTGCAGTGACACTACAAGTTCGTCCAATTTAAAATTCGCTTCTGTAATAACATTAACAAATTCATATTATCTTTCTAACTGTTTGTGTGATTTGATTCACACTTTTACCAATCTGCTCATCTGCTCATCTGAATTTTCTTCCTCTTTTACAGCAAATTTGCTATTGAGGTTGGATTTCCCTTTATTAAAGAATGCTATATAAATATGTGTACATCACATACATCTTTGATTCACCATTTGCATTTGCACAATGCTGCATCACTTGCATGTGACCTACCTTGCATCCTCACAGACAAACAAAACAAAAGGAAAATTGAACAAAATCGAAATGTCGAAATGCCCCCTAAGAAGAGATAACTTAAACAAAATATATGACACAAATCATAAAAAGAATAAGCTCCAATGATATTTGTCTCCATTAAGAATAAATGGAAGGATTATCATGCATATTACGTGAATGCTCTTTGATACACAACCACGATAGGCTGTTTTGTTGCCATCATCTGAACTTTCATGCCGAGTGTCGTAGCTGAGGTTCGCCATCTTCCAGGCTGACAAAGCTGCATAAAAAAAAGAAAAACAAACAATGGTAGTTATCATTGCTCATTCCAATTTTTGTTTTCCTTGTAAAAAATACAAAGCTTTGAAAGTTTTTGTTTTGTGTTTTTGGCTTTGTCTTACCGGTAATATTGATATTACAAAAGTTAAAGGCCCACTGCACTACTGGTAGCTACTTGCGCCCTCTATATAACAAACAATGCCTAATCGGTGACCATTGGTCCCCCATGATCCTCTTTTTCTTATGTTAACTGAGAGCTGAGTTGATGAGATAACCACCTGTCCAGTGACCTTGCAGAGCGGTCTAATCCCTCCTGTAAACTACGGCAGATAAGCTTTAAGTATTTGATATGTTAAATACATGTATCAATTATAATGAATATAAATTTCGCGATAGGAGTTATCATGATCATGATATGCCTCTGACTATGACTTACTACCATTCAGTTTGCGCATTTTACTGCTTCCAAAGATACCGAAGTAGCGACTACCCCCTATAGGACAACTACCCTCTGGACAACTACCCCCAGACAACTATCCCCTAGGATAGTTGTCCGAGGGGTAGTTGTACTAGAGCCTGGTTTTCATAGGGGGTAGTTGTCCTAGGGCGTAGTTGTTCAGGGTTATTTGTCCTAGGGGGTATTTTTCCTAGGGGGTAGTTGTCCTAGGGGGTAGTTGGCTGGGGGTGGTTATCCGGGGGGGGGGGGGGGGGGTGGGTGGATGTCCAGGGGTAGGTGTCCTAGAACCATTCACACATCTTAGCATATGTTCAATTCATACAACATAAATATTCAAATCAACTCTAAAATAACAATGACTGAGTATTACATATTCATTAGGAAAGGTCCACTCACATTTGAGAATGTACAACATAAATATTCAATAGCTAAATCAACCAATGGGGAAGAAGGAAAGTATGTAAATACATAACATGTGAGGTGATCGTGACAAAATATTCTGTAACAAAGAGAAGGATCAACTTGGGAATGTAAAGCATGAAGGAGGTATGATAATAACAAAAGTAAGAGGGAGCAATATTAATGAAAGTCATTTTGAGTGGCTATCACTATGAACATGGCAGACAAAGAAAGCGGACAAAATATACAGTTCCTCAGGTAGACAAAGGAACATCCCTTCACTGTTATTATGTACAAATGTGTAGAACAGGTGAATATGCATGTGACACCTGTTCCACACATTTTTACATAATAGCAGTGAAGGATGTTCCTTTGTCTACCCCAGGAACTGTATATTTTGTCCGCTTTCATTGTCCGTCATGTTCATAGTGTATACAGGTGGAACTGGCCTGGAGAAAAGTAAACAAAGTAAAGATCATTAACCCTGATCACTGGATGTAAACAGAATCTAATTGTGTACAAAATATTCCAACACACTAGTTACAGTTTAATTCTAGTACTTTAGGTCTAGACCTAATTACTATATTATCCTGATTATAAAGTCAATTGCTAGTATCAATTAAATATCACGTCATTACATGATTACTCATTGTTTAATATATTTTTACTTGCACGTCACTATTTTATTGTATAAAGCAATTGTACACCCTTTTGTTGTCTGCACCTTCACCTGCTGTCACAACACATCCCATCCCAGTATAGCTTGGAAAAGCTGCTTCAGGGATTACCTCATCAAGTATCTACAAAAATACATAAAACAAATGTTTTGAAAAAACGGCTTAACTTTAGAATACCCTGAAAACCCAATGGTATGAACTCTATAATTCCTTGAACAACATTTTGACCTGATAGGTGTTACATAGCATACAGCCTGAGCCTATTCTTCTTCTTCTTCCATTGAGTCAGGAAGTTGTAATGAATGGAGATACCGTCTCGAAAGAATTTTCCGAGGGAAAATTATTCAAGATTAACCTGGCTTAACAAAAAGAAATGTAACCCTCTCCAGCCATCATTTCCATCAACAGCTGTCCATATCAATGCACAGTCCCTCTCTGGCATTCTAAATAGTACGAAATGTTACGCAACGCCGTCTGCTTCCCTAAGTTCTCTATTCACTCTCTTGCAAAAATATGCAAGCGTCGGGCTTTGAAGCCATGCGTGGCACCGACAAATTAAGTCATGTTCAGGGAAGATGTATTTAGCTATAACATATAAAATGCAGAATTCACAACATAATATGACCAATGCAACTTTCTATTAGTCATCAAATGCGTTTTCCGTTCTCGGATAGCTCTACTGAAGACACGGCCATTTTAACTAGCGAAATCGATCAAGGAAATCATGAGTTAGAGCGAATGAAAGATTTTCATCATCATGATTTTCTCATCTAATTATTGACATTTTCCGAAAATTTCCGAAATTTGTACATAGCTAGGAAGGTAGTCCAAAGGTTTATCTTCCTAAAAAACTAAATGAAATTGTGTTATATGTTTGCGCATTTATTGATTTTGGGCTAGAAGTTGTCAAGTTAGCACCACTATTCGCCCAAAGTACGGGCCGGCAAAGCAAAAGCCGCCGTGTTCGCTGGGCTGGGCTGTGTGTGGAAAGGGGGGACTTAGTGCTACTAGGGAGCTGTACGGTTTCGGAGGGGGTTAAGGGGATTACGGTAGGGGAAACAAAAGATGCGCGGTGCCACGGATGACTTCAAAGGAGCCTCTTGGACGGGATCTCCATTCATTACAGCTTCCTGATTGAGTACAGCTTTATTATAATTTATACAGTCCTCTTGTCGTACTTGATAGTATAGTATTACAGGGCCGGGTTTGTTTACGATTGGGGAATTCCCCGGATGAAGGCCGGAGCTCCAGCTCATTATCTAGCTGACTCTGATTGGGTTTTGACACACAGCATTCAACATTTTAAAAACTCACATTATCATAGGAGACCTCCAGAAATGGACCTATCTTCATCAGTTGATGAACTGTGCCATAAAATATGAAAATAATTGTTGGATTTCCGATTTCCTCGTCCGTCTTTGACTTATACGCACTTCACCTTCCGTTGATTTCATGGTGTTCTTGATATACAAAATCAAAAGTGAAAACATACATGCACCATGCACAATGTAGTCAGACAGCAACAATACAACATTTTGGGAAAATGTTAATATTGGATGGATAGTGATTCTTACAATTTTGATATATTTGGATGCCCCTGTGGATGTTTTATAAGCATTAGAAATTTAACCCCTAAAACACTTCTACTTTCGAGAAAAATTGGATATCATAATTTACTTAGTGCTCCCGGTAAATTATGATAAATTTCGAACAGCGCCTACGGCCGTACAATGGTAGGTGCGACCATGAAAATCTCAGAATATGTAGTTATGATATAGGCTATATAATTTCCAAACGGGAATAGCACATCGGTCGATTTTACTCAAGAAATGTTGTTTCATAGCTCAACTAATATCTTGACCTTGACAGGGAGCTATACAACATTTTATTATTTACAATTTCATAACTTTAGACTCGATTTCAACCGCAACAACGATCACTGAATATTGTAGGATCGCATATAATATGCTTCCAATATATTCATTTGAACCAAATTCACGACCCCGTACCAAAACTTTGTATTATACATTGAATGGTAATATACAGAATGGCCAATGCTCGGCTGCTTTTGTCGAATCCGGACACCTACCCCCTGGACATCCGCCCCCGGATAACCACCCCCAGTCAACTACCCCCTAGAACAAATACCCCCTAGGACAACTACTCCCTAGGGCAACCAACCTCTCGGACGACTACCTCCTGGGACAACTACTCCCAGACAACTACCCTTAAAACAACTAACCCCTAGGACAACTACCCCGGACAACGACCCCCCGAGCAAATACCCCCTAGGATAGTTGTACGGGGGTAGTTGTCCTATTAGAGGATGGTTGTCGTAGGGGGTAGTTGTCTGGGAAGTAGTTTTCCAGGGGTAGTTGTCCGGGGGTGGTTGTCGTAGGGTTAGTTGTCCAGGGCTTGTTGTCCGGGGGTAGTTATCCCGGGGGTAGTCGTCCTAGAGGGTTGTTGCACTAGGAGGTAGTTGTCCTAGGGGGTAGTTGACTGGGGTGGTTATCCGGGGGTGGATATCTCACACTTTTCTATACACCAATGTAACCAGGCGCGTACGCAGGGGGGGGGGGGGGGGGGGGGGGGGGGGGGTTCACAAAAAACCATACACAAAACATATACATAAAAAAACTCAAGGGGGGGGGGGTTAACCCCAACCCCCCCCCCCCCCCTTGAGTTTTTTTATGTATATGTTTTGTGTATGGTTTTTTGTGAAACTCCCCCCCCCCCTTTTGATTTTTGTTTTTGTTTTTTTATTTAATTTTTTTTTTTTTAAATTATACCAATGGCTGACCTAAAAAAAGATAACCTTACCCCCCCCCCCCCAACGGAACAAAATGTCAAATTTTCAAATTTCGAGACCAAAAAAAAAGAAAAAGTGTCCTTTGTGTTACTTTGGCAAGAAAGATGGAATGATATCCAATCTGCAATAAAAATCCTTCAGCCAAACGTTATCTCACAATATTCTTGTAAATTGGGAAGAAAAAAATCAAATATTGTTAGGCGACTAACGCCTGGGATCGTTGGACTCCGCAATCTATAGGCATGCACCCGCACATGTTTCTGTGACAGCTGTCCACCAATATATAGAAACGGTCAAAGATTTTTTGATAGATTGAATGTCCAAGGTACTAATAGAAAGAGCCATGTTAATGTCAGAAGTTAATATTTCTCAGGAAGAGGACATCATGATATTTTTACATTATAGTGACTCTCGTTTACAAATGGCAATAGCTCGGCGTTTCATTTTAAGAACGAAGCGATTATATAAAAAGTAGGCACTAAATATACAAAACAAGAAACCGAAGTGAATTTAAACTGAATATAGTAGAAAAATATGTATTTTGTACGTAATATTATTTAGGTCTTTTAGCATATTAATTATTTGAAGTTTGTGATTAGGCCTATCTCTTATTTAGGCCCCTTTTTGAATAAAAATAATGAAAGCCATATCCACTATATAAATAATCTCATGTACTAATTCATATAACCTAATAAAACCCACGGTGGAACATGGTAGGATCCCCAACTTGCCCATTTTCATGCTGCTGCTCTGTTTGCTTTTGTTTATAAATTCACACTTTTCAGTAAAGACTAAAAACAAGGAACCTTCAAGAATACAGTGAACAATGAGAAAATGAAAACGAGAGAAAAAAGGATATTTGCATGTTTTGCAGATCAGCTGGCAAAGCAAAGTAAATATTTTTTGAGAAACTGACATTCTTGCATAATGGTGTGAACATCTGCATTTGATTGAGTACAATGGGAGTGGATTGCAGAGTTAATGGAATAATAGCGTGTTAGGGATAATGGCAAGATCTGTCTCTGACAAGAGAACATACAAATGGCCAGTCTAAATGGTAAGATGAGAAGTAAAATTAATATATTGGATGAAATTAGACCCAAGCAGAATAATCATGCAAATAAAACAACCCATACAAACCAGGATATAACAATTTACATTGAAATACAAAAAAAAAACAGGTGACTCAACGTGAATAAGATTGTAAAAGCCTTTCTTTGTATTGTCGCTTGAAAACGTTTTGAGAGTATGCAGTTTTTAGATCAGCTGGCAAAGCAAAGTAAATATTTTTTTGAGAAACTGACATTATCTGCATTTGATCGAGTACAATGGGAGTGTATTAATGAGAATTAATGAAATAATAGCGTGTTAGGGGTAATGGCAAGATCTGTCTCTGACAAGAGAACATACAAATGACCAGGTTTAATTGATACAAATCGAATACATACAAAAGTTTTAATTGAGTAAATAAAGGTTTAGTGGAGGCAAGGAAAGGCATTTTACAAATTATCCTCACTGCTCTTTCTTGCAACCTATTATAGTCTCAACATTTTGTCTAGAGTAGCTGAGGCCCAGATTATATAAGAAAATGATAAATGAGTGTGTAGTATAACAAATAATATAGGCAGGTAGTTTAGTTTGTTTATAACACCAATATTTCGTGAAATTGTTGTACATATGTAATTTTCATGGTCATGCCAACGCAATTTGTCATCAATTTTAATTGTCAGGAATTTTGTGTTAGATACTTTTGTGATTTCAGAGCCATTTAGTTGGAAATATCTCTTTTGGTGAAAATCATCATATGAGTTTTGTTTGCACTAAGTAGTTGCTTGTTACCCTGTTTTAGTTCGTGGTTAGGAGTTTGAATAAGGGTTACTTCATCTTTGTTTGATAAAGAAATAGTAGTGTCATCTGCAAAGAGGACATAACTGAGTATCGAAGAACATTTATGAATATCATGTATATATATTAGAAAAGAAGGAGGCCTAAAATTGACCCTTGCGGAATTTCGTATTTCAGATTGGTTTTTATTGTAAATACTGTGTTGCTTTCTGTCATTTACATAGCTCTGAAACCATTTCAAAGGAATACCCCTGATGCCTGAACAAAATAGTTTTTATAATGATATTTCATGGTTTTAAAACAATCAAAGGTTGAGTGTTTAGACAAGCAACTGAAATCTTTTTACGAAAGTGACAAGTCGATTGTACATGCATTTCTCAAGAATCTTTATAAAATGAGAAGGAGAGAAATGGGCCGATAATCTGAATACAGGTTAGATTGACCCTTTTTAATATTGGAATAATCTTTGCACCTTTTAACTTGTCAGGAAATATTCCCTTGTTAATAGAAACATTAAATATTTCACATAAGGGTTTACTGATCAATTTGATATAGTTTTCTTAACTACGGAGAAATGAGTGCAGAGTTCAGTCAGTTACACACGATTTTATTCCCAGAATATCGGTTCCAGGAAATATAGTGAGAATTAATATGAATTCATGGAATTTGGTGCGAGAGGTTTTACACGTGTGATTCCGAACTTCGAAAAGTTTAACATATTGTGAAAATGACTACGTTTTTTTTTTATACGTGCCGTTCATATCAGTTTTGAGCATGTGAAATCTTGATGAAATTTGATTGCAGTTTGAGTTTTGAATCAAACAAGAAGATAATTTGGAATCAATTTCCTGGAATATTTGCAGATAGACTGCAATCTATACACCATGAAAGTAAATGAGGCGTATTTGGGATGATCAGAAATACTTTGATATATATAACACTTCAACTTCGAAGTTGCTTGTGTTTGTTTTGTTTATGTATAGTTTTTGTTTCTTTTCATTGATGCATGCTGTATATAGTGGTCTTGATTCGATCAGGGCATCTGACTTACTGCCCTCGCCATTGAATGGAACACCATATAGGGGAACGAGGAAAAATTACTATAAGATCATCAATAATAGTTTACTGTTTGTCTCAAAAATCTTTTCTACAATCTGAGCCAACTTGCTAAACAATAATAATGAACCATGACACAACGTTAAACAGTATCTTTAACATGCACCAGGCTTGTTTCAATACCTGCTCTATAGCTCCCTCACCCCCTTGAAATAGCAACGAAAAAAGAGAGAAATTAGACAAAAAGGGAGATGGGAGCGGCACTTGAACAAAATAAGATAACCCCATCTCACATACTCCCCGATTGTGGCCCCTATATCTCACATTTTATCCACCTGACGTAAGGTTTCTGCCCCCCCCCCGTCTCCTGTGCCCCCCCCCCCCCCCTCATGCCATAATCCAGGCTTATCAAACTCATTTTATTCGACTAACTGTGATCAAATTCATAGAAACGTACTGTAATGTACTGCCCTCTGCGTGCACGTGCACTCATATTACTTCTGCAGCTTCTGATTATGCATGAACTGAGCATGCAGGGCACGTTGAATCGTATGAATTAAACAAATCACATACACAGATTAGCACATTTCAAAGCACGGAAAACTGATTCATGAAAGAGATAACATCAACAACATCTAAACAACGTGACGCTCAGGGAATATGTTCAAAGTAGCAGAATGTTGTCATGTATCAAATTGCGCTTTCAATATAAGAAACGATAATGAAACTATACTGAGAAAATTTGATCATTAGTTT